ATCTCCGTGGACCTCCATGTTCACTGCATTGACACCTGCATACACTGCATACCCTGGTGGATATAGGTGTTCCTTGTTGGAGGGCGATCCGCGTGGCGAACTTTCTGGCATTCGCACATCAGTTGAGGAGTCATCCACCTTCTGCTTCTTCTCCTGCTCCTCACTTTCCTCACGCGCCTCCCTTTTTTCATGCGCCCTTCTCGGTGAAGCACTGTCATCAATTCTCTTTGCCTCTTGTTCATCTTCACCTTCTTCCAGAGTCCTCTTCACTCCAACTTGTGGAATTTGAGGTGCCGGAGTACCCGGCGCTGGTGTTCCAGGGGCCGCTTGTCCAACTTCTGGCGTCCTTGGTGCTGGTGTCCTCAAACCAGGTGTAGGTCCAATCAGACCAGATGCCACGTCAGCTGCAATCTCCTTCATCTCGTTCTCCTCTGCTTCAACCTCTAAGGTCGGAATTCTCGTCCTCTGTGTGTCACCAGCATGCCTCATGAGAATTCCCTGAGAAGAATACGACCATGGTAGGCCTTTCGCTATCACCATGTCTGTGGCAATGAAGTTCTCACCAGCTGCCAATCTGCGGATTTTGCGTGCCTCAAATGCTCCGTCAGGAGTCAAGACCACATGGCTGTCATTCCATGGGCGCTTTCCTACCCAAGTGCCCCTCTCGAACACGTTGTTCCCTTTGTACTTCACCATCTTCTTGAAGAGAACGCTTTCACCGAACAAAGCAAGTTTGCCGTGATATCCATGGCCTGTTGCCAGCTCGAAACTCGTCTTGTTGCACTTCTCCAAGACCCTGAACCTGTTGAGCAGAAACGAGGCATACCTGAAGCTCCATGGGTACAGGTGAAATGAACCCAAGATCCTCATGCGAGCTCGATCTTCTGCTAAAGTCCTCAGGCAGTTAGCTAGCTTCCTCACTGTCTGCACTGCTCGCTCCACCTGTCCATTTGATGCGTGCTGCCCAGTTCCTGTCATCCGAATTTCTGTCTTCAGGCCCATCACGCTTCGAACTTGTTGTACAGATCTCAGGATCTGGCGTGTGGCTCTCTCTGGGTCTGCTTGAAAGATCACAGGGTCATATGCTGAGTTCTCAAGGGCAAACCGGACCACTTCCTCCGCGATCGTCTTGAGGCTTGCAGTCCCTTTTGAAGGTACTGGTATTGCATGGATGGCTTTGGTCTCTGAACTTGTCAGGATCAAGCACGTGCCAAATTGGTCTTGCCTTTCTTGGACCTTTCCCAACGTGGGCTCGTCACCTCGTTGGTCCTCTCCAGTGTATGCGTAGCAGAAAACCATTTGGATCAGGTTCTTGCCCTGGTCTTCCTGCTCTTCTCTGTTCACATGCTTGTCCTCCTTCGCCCGACTTGCCACGCAAGCCTGGCACCATCCAGCATAGGGCATGTGCGTGATGAAGTGTCTTTCTTGTTCCGCCAAACTTGGAAGCTTCGGTTGCCCAATGGTCATTGGAATCCTCTGCTGCTCTTTGTAGATCTTGTTTGCAATGGACAATTGCATTTGTGTCTCGATGTTGATCTTGAAGTTCATCAACCTCTCAAGGAGTCTCTTCTTGCTTCCAGTGTACGGCAGGTTTCTCTCCTTGCATGCCACCTGGAGATCTTTCACTGAAGTCTTCTCTGAGAACATTGTTTCATCCAATTGCACCTCATGAGGATGCTTTGCGATGACAAGCTTCTCGATGTCCTGATTCTCCACCTGTTGCTCCATGTCTTCGATCTCCTCTGCATCATCTTCCGACCGTTCAACAGATTGAATCATATCCTCAGGCTCAGGAAATGGAGAAATAGGAACCTCTGAGTCATGCTCCCAATAGTCTTTGAACCTGCTTGGTGCAAAGAAGCTCAACGTCCTCTGTGGCTCATCATTGATGCCAATCTTCCGGAACATCTCAGATCCTCCAGCATTGATGTCATCAACCTTCTCCAGTTGTGTCCATTGGCCGTTCTTCTCTTTCACTAAGGTCATTCTCGACTTGTAGGCCTTTTCAATGCTGTGCTTGGGATCTGCAAGGCGAAGAGCAATGGGGTCACTGTAGACAACTACTCCATTTGGTAGCCTGTGCCAGCCTGGAGCCATCTCAAGCTCTTGTACATACTTGCTCCCAAATCCAGTCAGCGCAAAGATCCTGGCAGTAGGGCTCGAAGTGGATCGCATTGGGCTCGTGGTGGTTGAAACTCCTGCCACTGTGAAGATCCTAGCTGCCAGTTGCAACGAATTGCGCTCTGTGTTCACTGGCACTTCAATGCCCTTCTCTTCATGCCTCAGTTCCAGAGGTCCTCCATCTGCTTTCTGCAAGCTCCAACCTCTGCGCAGCAATTTTCCTGCACATAATATTGGATGTTGGACATTCCCCAGTCAAGCAATTTGAAGATCTTGCCATTCTTGTCTTCGATGCGGATGCGGGCTTTTGTCACACCATCATGGGCGATCTTTCTCCCTTGGGCGTCCACCATCTTGAGTTCCGTGGACTCTTGCTGTCGTTGACCTACAGCTGCATAGCTGCGAGGAAGTACTGACACATCAACTCCACTGTCCAGAGTCACTAGACATTGGTCTGCCTCATCCTCCTCGATCTTCACCATGTTTACCTGTAGTTCTTCCTCTTCGCTGTCCTGCAGGTCTAGTGCCACGATACTCACTCCGAGTGGCACATCCACCATGGGCTCATAGCAGTCCATGTACTCGTCATCGGTGACCTCATAGCCATCGACCTGGTGATCGCACCAAATCATCCCAACTCTGCAAGGATATCCACTTCTGTCATCCCTTGGAGTGGTCAAGTCGAACACTTCCATAGATGGGGTGTCTGGAGGAGTTTCCAATCGGACCATCTTGACATTGGCTGTATTGGCTGTTGCCGAACTCTGAGCTGTTGCTTGACCTCCTGTCGACGAGGAACTTGCTCCACCTAGATTCTGCTGTTGGTCCTCTATCTGGTTCACTCTCTTCCAACAGTCTTTGGCAAAGTGTCCGGGGATGCCGCAGATGTGGCATTTGCTGCTATTGCCACCTTTGCTCCCCTTGTCGCTCGCTTTGCCCTTCTTTCCAGGTCCTTTCTCCTTCCTTTCTCAGGTCTCCATGCTCCTTTGCCATCTTTATGCTTTCCTTTCTCTTTGCCCTTCTGCTTCCCTTTGGCATCCTTGCCTTTGAACTTGCCGCCTTTCTTGCCACCTTTATCCCATGACTTGCCGACGTAATCAACTTCCATGTGTGTGGCCTCATCACTTGCAGCACGAGTGGGCAACATCAAGGAATTGGAGCTGTCCCATCTTGTCGAGTTGTGGTGTTTGTGATCCACAAGTGCAAGTGCTGTCTGATTTGCATCGGACATGCCAATAGCACTGCAGCCACCTTTGCATCATCACTGTAAGAATGACCTGAGATGCGTTCATACTCGTTGATGAGAGACTCATATTGCGGTAGCTGCTCTGCCACCGTCTTCCCTTCCTCTTGAGAGTTGGCTCAACAAGGCCAAGGACCTAGCTCTTGTCGCAGGTTGAAGTTCCCGCAATAGGATCTGCCAAGCTGCAAAGCCATTCTCTCTCTTGACGTGCCTGATCAGCTTCAATGGCCTTTGCCGCAAATAGGATGTCAGCAAACTGTATAGCCGAACTGATCTCCCTTTTGTCTCATCTGTCATGTCATCCAGCTCATAACTGGCGTCAAGATCCCTCTCGACATGGTCCATGTCATTCGCCATGGTGGGGTCAATCCCTTTGATGTAGTTGAGAAGTGCAAATTTCCAATCTCCCCACAACTTCAGCTCATTGCCACGTGAATCCGGCTTAAACACATCAGGAGGTTTGAGATGTCGTGCCCAGCCTTGAGTGGTCTGATTGACCGTCAACCGCTCCAATGCATTTGCAACCAGCCTCAAGCTTTCCTCAGCCATTGGTCCAATCGTCCAGATCTTCGGATAGTACGACTTGGTGGTGCAAGAGGGCTCAATGCAGCAATGCTCTCCTCCGGGCTGAACTCCAGTCCACTATAGACCAGCAACTCCCAGAAACACCAATTCGACAAAAGCTCACAGATCTTTTCCTGGGGTATCTCTTGCCTCAAGTTCTCGATCTTTGAGATGAACTTCCACTTTGATGGAACTACCACCAAAATCTCCTTCAAGTCGGCGCTCAACCTTCCGTTTCTCCTCTTCTGGAAGACAATTGAGGCTCTGGCTGCTTTGTCGCTCTTCACCCACCGAACTCTAGTGAGGTACTCAGCAGTCTCGAAGGTGACCGTGTGGAATTGCCTCCTCTTGAGCTTTCCAGCTTTGGGGATCACACGGTTCGCCTGGAAGTAGTTGATCTCCTGGATCGCTGTGGTACCGACACCGCCTGCTAGCCCAGCGAGCACGATGAGTTCCACCAACCAAATTCCTCGTTGAGGATGTCGTGGTGATCGTAGTGCTCGTGGTGCGTGTCGTATGCGGAAGCGCGGCTCAGTACGGCCAGCGCTCCGCTACCATGAAACGGCACGGGCGCACCTATTTCAACCTCAAAGATGGGGTCTCGAGAGTAAAAGGTTCCGGCCGGTCTCATGTCTAGGTGACTGTGCTATCTGACTCTTGCTCAAATCTTGACAGAAAAAATAAGAAAACGATAGAAAACGATCATTCCAAGTGTGGCCTATTTGGTGTTTGCCAACTTCGTCTCATTCCGCACACCCTGCTTCACTGCGATCTCCGTTGTCAAAGTTTGCAAATGGCACGTTTCGCGCAAACAGCCGGATTGCGCCTCTGCTTGTTAATAAGTGCCAAAACATGCCAAAACTATGCAGCTGTCTTCCTAGACTTTCCGGTTGAAAATGGCCAGCCCACTTTCAAAATCCAATAGCTAAGTCGAATTAAAATCCTCACGCCACACACGCTACTCTTTTAAGTGGCGTTGCGTGGCGCTTGAAAATCGTAACCTTCTACTGTAGTTTGCCTCGAGCCTCGAGACTGCCTTTAGCTAAGCTAAGCTGAAACTGCACTGACCAGTTCACCATGTGAATTTGCGAGTCTGGTGGCATGTGAACCCCTCAGGGGGCATCACGTCATTCAAGATGAAATCATTGATCCTTTCCACGCAGCTCTCGACACCCTCTGGGTCGTAGCTGTCTGCGGCGTAAGAGACCATATGACCTGTTCCTTGCCATGTCATGAGATGAGCACTGGGAAACACCTCGCGCATCTGCTTTGCACTGGAATAAGGTGTGGAACGATCAAACAGGTCGTTGACCACAAGCATCCGGATGCCCGGCCGGGACCCCAGCTGCGCCGGCGTGGGCAAGGGAGCCCAGGACATCAGCCCATAGCCTGCCTTCATGTTCCCGAAGAAGAGCGGTGAAGCACCGTAGCGGTCCTTCAAGGCGTTGAAAACGCCCTTGCCACCCTTGGCAGAGTAGACGCCTGCATAGTCCAGGCCACGGACCGCATTCTCGGTGAGCCCGCCATCCGAGTGTGCGCTGTGGACATAGTCCATGTAGTCGAAGCAGTATCCATAGGTCTTCCAGTCGTTCGTGCACACTTGATCAAAAATGCTTTCTGTGGCACTGGTCACAGCAGATTCATTGTGGCCACCCAGCATGTTCAAGAGTTCGAGGGTTTTGGTCCACGGAGAGGCTGATGGCAGCGTTATATCGGTGTTCATGTATTGATAAAGCATCGGGGGCGTGAGAGTGAAGGCCTTGCCTGTGCGGGTGCTTCTGGAATACATCGACGATGGCGAGGAGGCATTCCTTCGGATCTTCTCCACCAGATCTGCGAAAAAGAGCTCCGGATCGGTGGTTGGCAAAGCACATCTCGTAAGCATGTCATCTGGCACATGCTGCTTCTCCCCCTCATCATTGCAAATCTGCAGATACTTTGCCATGGCCTGCTGCGATGAGATCACTTGGCTCGAGTAGTAGTCCTCTTTCATAGGGCCAGGTGTTACGACTCCGTTGAGCACGACCTTCCCAACATGCTCTGGGTAGGCTGTGGCATAAACTACTGACACTGCCGTGCCGTAACTGAGGCCCATGAAACTCAGCTTCTCAGCGCCCAAGGCCTGACGCAAGCGATCAATGTCCATGGCCAAAGTCTGGGTTCCCACATAGTCCAGGTAGTTGAAACTCTCGTTTCCATGGCTCATCTTCCAATAGTCCGCCTTGTAACAGTTCTGGTTCCGGCTCGCAGCAAAGGCGACTCATCCTCCGGATCTGGAAAGGGCTCAGGAGCTTCACGGTCACCTTCAGGAAGGTTGCATGGACAAGTGGTGAAGTCCCTCAAGTTGTATGACTTCTCTTTGACCACCGGAGGTTCTAACCGTTTACCACATACTCCTTCAAAGGTCTTCAAGACAATCGGCTCCGGCCAATGCCCCAAGTTGCTGTCATCGGACATGCCTCTTTGCTGGATGCCAAGAATATTGTATTCCTTCTCCAGCTGAACCGTGCCCACAGGATACTTGAGGTAGGACCACTGCGCCTGGCCGGGTCCAGCATCAGCGGTTCGAGGCCCCCCCCTGGTGTTGCAGCACCAGGGGAGCATCTGGTCCTTTCAAGCCAATCCAAACAGAAACGCGAAGATCTAGATTGATCAATGAAGACTTCTTGGTGTGATCATAGCTCAAAGGAACCTGCAAGTAACCAACCATGATCTTGCGCCAATCATTCTCAGTCAAGCTGGCATTATTCTTCATGTACTGCTGCTTCTGCGTTTCGTTGCACAAAAAGGTGGTTGGGTCGCAGTTCTTCAACTGCGCGGCCACTGATGGCACGGCATAGTAGCCCACAGACTTCCACTCAAACAACTTCGGATTGGGCTTCATCAAAGTCCATACTGGGTCTGATGGGTCTGCAAGAACCCGGTGACCTCGCCCTCGCAGGCCTCACAGGCCAGCCCACCACCTGGGGGACTTGCCCGGACCAGCGCCAAGGTCATCAAGGTTGAGAACGCCAACATGGTGATGTCTGGGACCGCGTCTGGTGCACACACTAAAATCTACTTGAAGGTCACCTGCTTGAACAGCAGCTGAGTCATGTGCAAAAAAAAGTCGGACATTGTGGCGCTTACGAAGCAAGGAGCAAGCCAAGTTGTCCATTCAGCTTACATTAGTCCAGAAACCACTATTGCAAAAGAGAAGAAACCTCTGGTGTCGTGCAGCTTTAGAGTGCCAAAGAATAGATTGTAGAGACTCAAGAAATTTGGAAGCGCGCCCTCACAAAATCATCCAAGTCGCTGTGGAAAGGAGGAACTTTATCCAGCGGCGATACGCTCCTGTCGGCAAAGAGAGTTACGCACTGAATCGAGTGCTCTGCAGCCAAAGCTGCAAGCAGTGGGAGAAGCCGAAGATTCATTGAGGCTTGGCCAAACAAAGAACATCAAGAAATGGCAGCCTGAAGCAAATTCAACACATTTCTCATCATTTCTCCATTGCGCGTGTCCAACAAGCGCAAAGCATGAGCTGGCAAAAGCCTACGCCATGTCCACCAGAATTCCAAAACCCTAACTGACCTGCAAAAATTGAGAACCGCTCCTGCCACAACCCTCTCACGCGCGCGCGCGCACGTGGTCCTCTGTGGGGCCGGTGCTGTGCCTGAAACTTGATTCACATCGCAGCAGGCCGCTGTCATGGTACGTTTGTCTGTTGCAAGAAAGTATCCCAACAGCAGAACCAATGAATTCACTGTGTTGGCCTACAAGAATGCACGAAATGGGGGAAGCTCTTGTCTTTCACTTCAGCTGTGAGTGGGGCAAAGACGAAAACCAGCACCAGTTGCACACACTTTGATTCATCTTTGTTGAGTTGATTGGTTCCCATCCAAATCCCCAGTTCATATAAGCCACACACAGCTAGGAGCTTCACAAGAAGCTCCCGGCAGGCGCTAACCACCACTATCGGGAACGCGCTCGTTTGAACCGGTGGCCAACGGTGGCCAACCATCCAGGAACCGGGTGGCCACCGGTGGCCATGGGAAGGGGTCGTACCTCGAACCACTTCAGAGAGGGGCTAACCCCGTGGTGCTGAGAGGACCCCATTCGGCTCGCTCCGTGCAGACAGAACACGTCAAGACCAGCGTGAAACCTGCGTCGACTCTGCGCCAGCGTCTAACCCGCGCCTGCAAGCTGGTGGAGCGAGAAGGATGCAAGTCAACGGATCAAGGGTTGTCAAATTAGCGTGATCACAGTGTCACGGAACAGCAAAGGCATCGATGGTGTAAACTCACGGATAAACAGCCGGAAAAGCCTTGAACATTGGTGCGTTTGCACCAATTAACACACCACCGGGTGGCCTCAAGACCTCTTCCAGAACCTCTTCTTTGTATCTGCTGCACTTGCAGCACTTTCCAAAGCAGTCCAAGGGGAGTTGGGAGTTGAGGCCAAAGCCCACCGGCTGCACCAAGTCCCTTTTCTGCGCTGGTCGGTTGAGTTCTGTCCTGCTCCACTAGTGTTAATAGAAGAACCGGAATAACCAGCAGCTCAAAACACCCAGGGTCGGTGGGCAACACCCACCCGGTCGAATTCCAGGGCCCCATGAATGGGGAGGGTTGTCTAAACCCATCCTCCATCCAGGTGCCCCGAAAGATTGGCAGAGAGTGAAAGACATGCAACCAGGTCCCAGTGATCGTGCATTCTATGATGTGTTCGGGCAAGTGGGCTCAGGAGCCTTCCCGGGTCGCCAAGTGTATGTCACCCTCCTTGAAAAGTTAAGAAGATGATCAGCTCGGAGCAGAAAAACGAGGCTTTTGCAGCCAAACCCGGGTTTCTGGCATCTGGAAAACACACAAAAAAGGAATGCTAGTGCTACTTTGCAGGCTAATTTTAGATATAGATGCAGGTCTTGAACTGAGAAATCCTGCTTCCCCTAAGGACTTCTGGAGTCTTGATAGACAAGGGTTTGGATGCTTGGTGAGGAGAACAGAAGCCCGGTCACAGGCTCAGAACAAACACCTCCTCCTTAGGGCGGCTGGCAGTCAAATCCTCATTGCAGGGATCCATCTCACCTCACGGTCAAATCAAACACCATCTTCGTCTGATCAGGGACAATATGTTCGTCAATGGCCTGAAAACTGAGCAAATGGACGGCCCAGGGATCCTCTTTGTGGGAATGTGTGTCAGAAACTAAATTGATTTGTGAGCTCCAAGAACCCAAGCAAACGGAAAGTTCCAGACTCCACACAAAGTGACTTGCAACATACTCCTCCAAATCCACCACATGCTCTTCCGGAAAGTGCTTCTGGCGCAAGTATTGGATGTATTCATCGAAGGAGCGATCGGATTGGACGGCTTCCAGGAAGGCTTCGACCTGCTTCACACGCATCTGCCTGAGACCCATGAGACGCTGCAGTCGACATATGTTGCCTCTCCGGAGGGAAAATGGAGATAGGAAGGAAAAAAGTGAGATTATATCATCCTTCATGTAAAGGGAACAGCATATTACAATGCAGGTCAGTCAAAGACCTCCTCATTTTGCTGAAGTTGATGATACAAACACGACTCAATGAGGTAAAGAACCAGGTTTTGCCGGGTCTTTGGACATGTAGGGATAGGATTCGGAAGAATCTTTCATTGGGAAGCCAGAAGGCTTCCCTGGCAACTACCTGACCAACTTTCATGCCAATGACCCCACAAAATGTATCGTTGATGGAACCCATCTTTGGAGGACCACAAAGAAAATGCCGGGGGAAGTGACACTCTCCTCGTGGTATGTCCATCCTTTTTTGTCCAGCCCAGGAACGGCTTCAAATCCTGCCGCGCTTCAAGCTGCGCCACGCGGGGTCTTGTTTTGGTCAAACGGCGCCACTTCCTGAACCGCTGGTTCTCTCGGCCGTCATCCCCCATGGCTGCGGCAACCCCCTGCGGCGAAGCAAAAGCCCGCGGTGGGGCGATGTGAGCCCGTGGTGCGGCATCCCAAAATGATCTAAATATGCTACAAGTCTTCCGGAGCGGAGGTCGAGATATGGAGGCTAAGCTTCACCATAACCTGGACAGGACGTGAAAGGTGCCTAAAGGTGCCTTGTGTGTGTGTGTGTGTCAATCCCTGTCCCCAAGGGTTCCGCTTCAGTGGTTTTTGTCCAGCAGGGGGATCAGGCTTCCAGTGACTAACCTGATCCAACGAAGCTGGGTCACTGGAAGGGAAGTGTTTGAAGACGCTCAACCATGTACCTGCTGAACCTTTCCGCAAGCTGTCACCCTACTTTTCCACGGTTTGATTCATGGTTCTTCTTGCTTCCACCCCCGAAACCCTGGCTTTGCAGCTGAGTCTCGCCGCTCGTTCACTACCGTTGCGCTCTGCAGTCACGCACAAACAGCTTGTTCAACCTTTCAAGTGGACTGACTTTCTCACCATGCCGTTCCCTCACCATTTTCGACCTGGGAATTGAGCTAACTGAAAACCAATGTCAGAGTGTGAACCGCTCAGCCGTCCCACTTGGGTGCTGGGTGTGATCCCCGTGACAGGGGCGCCGAAGCCATGCAGGAATTTCGCTAACAGCCTTTTCGTTTCCACCACTCGTTGGATTCTCTTAACCGACTTCTTTTCACCACTGGATTAACTGGTTCAACAGCCGCCGGGCTTGTACGGAAAGACTTACTTACTGATACCACAGCCGCCGGGCTAAAAAACGGAATTCATGTCCACTTGAGGTCAGGCATGTTTTCCCAACCCCCCCCCGCCGAGTTCTACTCCCTACCTAATTAGGGTAACACAGGGAAATGGTACTCGACACACTTGTGTGTCGGTGCCTTTCCCTTTGTTGTCCCTGTTCTAGTCTTCTCTGCCCGGGCGGTCCAAGACTAAAGTCCCGTTCCCTAACTATTGCACTTAATTCGCTTCTGCTAAGTAGTCAGTAACTCTAGAGTGCTAAGTAGTCATACACACACACGGACACACACATGCTACATACATCCCCTCTCTGCCCCCCCCTTCTTTCTTACGCTTTTGGTCGTTTCTTGGGCTTTCTCTCAGGCTTTTTAGGTTGTTCTTGAGGCTCGTTTCCCTACCCCAGTCAAGGGCTAAGTATTCACCCTTTTCTCTACCCCTATCTTTCTCTCTTGCCCTCTTAGCGCTGCTCTTTCTGTCTTTCTTTCGTTTGTTTCTAAGGCTTTTTAGGTATCTATTCAGGTCCTCCGCGCGAGCGCCGCAAAGCGGCACCGTGTGTGTGTGTGTGTGTGTGTGTGTCAACCCCTGTCCCCAAGGGTTCCGCTTCAGTGGTTTTTGTCCAGCAGGGGGATCAGGCTTCCAGTGACTAACCTGATCCAACGAAGCTGGGTCACTGGAAGGGAAGTGGTTGAGGACGCTCAACCATGTACCTGCTGAACCTTTCCGCAAGCTGTCACCCTACTTTTTCCACGGTTTGATTCATGGTTCTTCTTGCTTCCACCCCCGAAACCCTGGTTTTGCAGCTGAGTCGCGCCGCTCGTTCACTACCGTTGCGCTCTGCAGTCACGCACAAACAGCTTGTTCAACCTTTCAAGTGGACTGACTTTCTCACCATGCCGTTCCCTCACCATTTTCGACCTGGGAATTGAGCTAACTGAAAACCAATGTCAGAGTGCTTCAATACTTTTGTGGGGCCGCATGAGGGAGGGCCAAAGATGTATGTTCAAGTCACCAGCACGGATCTTACCAAAGCTTGAACAAATGCCATTCAATAATTCGGCCTTGATGCATCCATACCATTTCAAAAGTGGAATCATCCATCTCTTTTTGGAGCACCAAAACGAGCCTCCCCACACCTAAGCAGGCCCCAAAAAACACTGGAGGACATGCCCTCAGCCACTTCATACCATGCCCTCCACCCCACGAGGTGTCCCCCAACAAACTTGTGGCCCATCTTCGTGGCTTTGGGGCTGCACCTGGTGCCTGGTGCGGACCGAAAGGCCTCGCGCTATCGCCTCGCTTCGGCCGAACGCGAAGCCTCGGCGCAGCAGACCTTCTCGTCTTCGCCGCGGGTGACCTGGGCAGTGCCCCCTAGTAGCGTCCTTGCTCCTAGTAGTAAGGCCAGGAGCCCTAGTAGCTTTTTGTTCCTAGTAGCGATGCCAGGAGCCCCTAGTATCGGACGCTCCTAGTCGGGTGGGGGACCGCAGCTTGGTGAAAAGACCCTGGTCGTGCCATGCTCCGATCGATCTCCCAACGCAGATCGATCGGACCGGCCACCGAGGTCGCCAGGGACTGGGAATCAGGAATCTCTTTCATATTAATTAAATGAATCTGGACAACTCAGGGTTGGGGACTCTCTTGTGTCTGAGACATCGCTACACTCAGTGTTGGTTCTGCTCCAACCACCCAAAAACAAACGCGATCGAAAGGCGCGTTTCGGCGCTTCAAAGGCCAGAAGCTACTCCCCGACCGTTCTGAGGGAACAAGAGGGAACACTGTGAAACAAAGTCTCTCGCGGGTCAATCGAGGTTGGAGGAGGGTGAGCTGCACCAGAAAAAGGGATCCAGTCGTACCTGGAGCCTCCTGGCACCCACATGTCTCAGGGTCTCCGTCCTCACCGTACCTTCTCGAAGGTACGACTCCAGTCCCTGCCCTAGAGAATATGAGAAAACAGCTGGTGGTCGGAAGAGACTGAAAAAACTCCACGTGCCTGCTGTCACGAATCGCCTGCTGTCACGAATCGCATGTCAGGAACCCTTTTCAGAGTGACAGGCTGTGATGGAATCCACATCAATCCCATTCGCAATGCCCATCGCCACGCTCTTTTTGAACCGTGACGCGCAGTCACGGCACTCACAGCACCCAGCTGTGTGGCCTTTTGCCCAGGCGCCACGAGCTACTTGGGCCCCGGGGCGTTTCAGCTACATTGAGAGAGGAGAGCGGTGTCCGGATCTCTCCAAACTTGGGCGCTAGTAACCAGCCGCTTCAGGTGGAGAACCTCTCTAAGAACCCGAACTCGCCGTCCTCTCGCCCTCTTCGCTTCCCATCACTCGCCCGAACTCGCCGCTCACGGTGGCTCCGAGCCGGGGCCTTCCGCTCCCGCGGGGACCGGTGGGGGTCGGGTGGGGAGAGTCCGAACGTCCGCTGCGGCGAAGGGACGGGGGGACCCACCGTCCGACGTGTCCACGCCCTTCCACGCCCTTTCTCTCGGGAGTAGTTCTCTGGGGCAGGATGCTGCATCTTGCCTACCTTCACATAGCAAGGGAATCTGATTCAAGCACAAACGGCACCTTCGCAACGTGACTCAACATTGTCTCGTCGTCTGGTGCCTGAAACAAAAATGGACTAAAAAAGTTGTGGCCTTCATTTCAGGCCATCCACCATATAGCTAAGCAAGCTGGCATTGCCAGTGCCACTAGCTTCTGTTTCGGCTTCAGGAGCTGCCGAGGTCGGCGCTTCCTCACTGCCTCACTGCTACGGCGCTACGGTGTCCTCGTGGTACCCCAGTCTCCCCAAGAGCCAGTCTCGCAGCTCCCGGACGCGGCGCGCGCTGCCGTCGCCTCGATGCTTGCGGACCAGTCGGAGGAGCTTGCTCCTTGCCCCGGGGCGGTGCTGCAAGGCCTCCAGGGTCTGCTCCAGGTAGCCCACGTAGGTCTCATGCGTCAGCCCATTCGGACGCTCCGCCGGGTCTTCCAGGTCATAGACCGTACGAGACTCGAAGGAGTCGCGGAAGGGAAGCTGGTCACAAAGCTGGACCAATGAATGATTTAGGACTTGCTCATCCTCATCCGAGGACAAGAAGGCCTTGTACATGGGAAGCTCTTCATCTGGAAGCTCTGCAGGCTTTAAACTAGGCCTGACATCGGTGAGCAAGAAGCCCACCCCTTCATGCTGGGTGCACTGCGAAGCTTCTTTCATTGTTCGCTCAGCTTGAGCCTGGAATGTTGACACAAGTCCACCAAACCAAAAAAGAAACATATCTTGAAAATCACTCTCGAGATGTCGTGTTCCCTCCCAGAACAAATCTGGACAATCCCACTTCCACTTCTGGACGCTTCCCCCGCGATGTCCAAACCGTCTCCCTCCCGTGAACCCGGACGAAGAGATCGAGACGGCGCCCTCCCGCCCCCTCGATTCTCCGCCTGACTTGAGACCTGAGCCAAGAAAGAAAGAGAAAACCAACTGAAACATCCGGGAAATTGACCCTTCTAGGTGAAGATAGGTGAAGTACATAATAAGCTGAAGTAGTATAAAGCAGCAGGTGCGCTTGGTGTTTTCTGCTCCAAAAAGCAGTGTGTATATATATATATAGTTGGCACAAGTGAGAGTGTCCTCCAATCGTCCAGGTCCAGGTAGTGGATGTCTTCTTCAGTTCAACCGTTCAACAGTTTGCCCAGAAAGAAAACCATTCTGGCAGGAATGCCCAACAGGCAGTCTTCAATGCAGTTCTTTGAAACGCGTCACACCAGCCACATCCTTGTCTCCAAGATGCTCCAAGTGGCTAGTGAAACGGTAAAATATCCATACAGCAGAATCTGCCAGTCCTCCCTACGTCTGTTTCGTCGCACCCGACCACGGTCGGCGCCGCCGCGCTTTTTTGCGCCCCCGCAAGACGGCCTGCAGCGGGTCCCCCCTCTGAGTCAGCGGCTATGTGACCAATCGGCGTGCAAGACGGCCAGCATCGGACGGGACTTGAGATCCTCCGTGCGGGAGTGGTGAGTGGTGTCAAACGGTCTGAGTCTGAAGGTGTGAAAATCATCACGAGGTGAGGAACATCACCAGTGATGCAAACAGATGGGAACCTCGTTCATGCCCTGTTTCAAACAGATGGTGTCTGGAAGTTCCTGTCGCAGTTTTTTCCTGCAAGGCCAGGCCGTGCATCACTAGGTCTCGGCTGTCCAAGGCAACAGATCGCCAAGACTCCTGAAGCTCCCAAGCCCATGAACCCATGAACCCATGTCTTCAGAGGCATCCCCGGACCTCAGAAATATGATCAGGAAATAAAGCAAATGCTGAAGATGTGCAGATTTGGGGGGTCCTCCCAAAGAGAATCTCACTATCTAGACCTTCTAGGCCAGTTGCTCCGACCACGACCACGGTTCCGCCCAGGCTCCCCCTGCACCTCCGCCCACCGAACCGTCCACCGAACCGTCCACCGCACCGAACGCCTGGATGGTGTCGGCGAGCGAGGAGACGAAGCCACGGCACCACTCCTGGGGACCGGACGGGACGCGACTGGGGGAGGATCATTGGGGTGGGGTGACTTCATCGTTGGGGGTCCAAGAGATCCCGATGAAGGGAGGTCCCGCGACGACGACGACGACGGCGAAGAGCATCTCGCTGAGTGGCCGTGGGATAGCAATCCGCATTGAGGTCCAAGGAGATCCACCTGCCATGGCTTCTGCAGACGTTCCGCAGGGTGTGCAGACATTCCGCAGGTGGATGACATTGGGTGACATCTGGGCAACCTGGAAAGTGGCAAGTGCTTCTGTGAAATGGACTCCTTGCCCTGCACTCACCTGTGGTCACCTGGTGTGTCTTCTTTTGTGTGAACTGGCCTGGTGAGTCTTATGGTTAGAGCAAAAAGACTAGTGGTTCAGCTCTCTGTCTGGCACGTGGCACCCCCCAAAAAAGAGGAATGAAGGAGACTTGCCGACTTGGGTCTGGATTTCCAATTGACTCAAGCAGGATCACCGAACCCAATGTTGATTGCTGAGGCCCAACAAAGCGCGCCCGCAGGTGGAAGGGGGAAGACCCCCGGCGGGAAATCCCAAGCATGGCAGCAGCGCCAAGCATCTGGAGCCTGTGGGATGGGCGCAGAGGTGCTGACCAGTCGCATGGCTGAGTCTCACGTGCCGAATGGCGGGGGCAAGCACTGACCGACCAGCTGACTGCAATGCCATGGTGTGGTTGGAGAGATGAAACCGGGACGCCACGTCGTACGACCGTTGGAACGAAGAGTGTTCGGAAATCAGTTTATCCAGCTGTCCAACCCACCATGCACACGATTGCAACATCAAACCCAAAACAACATCGCAACTTTTGTTTGAGAGTCTTGCAGTGCGAACCGCACAGCTATCCTTCAGCCAACGCCAGAAATCACCACATCCATCACGGTCACCCAGCTGTTGTCATCGGATTTGCTCGCTTCACATCAACAGCCCGGACGAGTCCCCCAGGCTGAACAAAGAGACCCTTCACTGGTTGCTTTGATGCATTTTTTAAGATCAAAATGGAGACCTTGAATATCCTTGAACCCATATTGATATTACACTGATATACTACACTGATCTACACTGCACGAAAGACAAGTGCTGCTGGGCCACAATGTTCGAAGACATGTCGTGGCTTATGCAAAGATGCAAATTTATGCCCATTCTCTGGAGTTTACATATGAATCATATGAGTTTGTATTTTACAGGGAGACCCCCCACAAACTCCTGGAAAGTAAAATTAGACCAACACCTAGTTGGGGGGTCACCCTCTGAAACTTTACAAACACTATCATAATTATATATATATGTATCAAAGCAGGTAGGACAGGTGATGAGGATACGCATGGTTCTGGCGGCAGATCAAATCTGTCGGCTTCTCGTGGGCACTGTCCACCGCTTCTTCCCTCCGAATCGGCGCTCCGTACGACGGTGTCGCCTCCTGCTCGAGCGTGATGCGCATGGGCCGGTGGGGTGCCTTGTAGGCCCTGAGCCCGGACGAGCGAGCGGCAGGACACGGCAGGACACGGGTCCCCGGATGTGGAACCGGGCGGGGTCCCTTGACGAGGATGGGAGGAAGAGGAGCAGCGCGCAAGAAAAAGGAAGGTTCAATCACAGGAATGTGGCTGCATGTGGCTTCCTCTGAAATGTACAAACATGGCCGGCCCACGGTCAACTCCCCAAAATCGCTGCTGGGCTATATTGGCTTGCTGGACCAACACCTACTCCAAGTCTACGGTGGACCTTCGCGTGACACCTTCCTCCGCCGGCACCGAGTTCCGGCGTTCCACGTTCCACGTTCGCACGTGCGCGCCTGCGGCGATCGGGTGCCGAGCCCCTCCGGCCGCCGTACCTGGAGGAAGGAGCTTTTGGGCTCCAAGTGGTGGATGAGTTCGATGAAGTTGGGGGGTTCTGGCACCAAGAGCCATTCTGTGGGCGCAACAAAAATAGAAAAGAAACAAGTCCGAGTATCCATTATCACCCGAAGAGTCACCCACTGGCCACTGATCACAACAAGTTCCAAAAGGCCTGGAACAAAATCAACCCGTCAGCCCCTGAAGAGCAGCACATTCACACCATCCTTCTCCGATGACGGCCTCCGAGAGCCCCGGCTCATGCTTCCGTGTCTGAATAAACTGCTGCTCGCCACGCGCCTGCACGGTAGGCACCCCATGAATCCCATCATGAATCTCAACCCAGGGCGGAGCCAAAACTGTACTTTGGCAGCAAATATCCAAGCACTGCGAGGTCGTGGTCAGATAGAGATCGCTATAGTAGTCAGAGTGCAGAGTCCATCAGTCTGTTTACCCACTTGCAAAGCTTACAAAGCTGCCGACTGTAGCAGTATATACCCCTCTAACCCCCAGAGCCAAATTGACCAGAACCAAAAACGCAAGGCCGTGGTCATCGCGCTCAAGGCCCCCGGGGCCGGTTCTCTAGGTCGGTGTGGCGCCTGCTCGTCGAGCGGCAGGATATTCACCAAGATGTTGTGGGCGTTGTTGATCGGATTGAAGACCGTCCACCTGAGATCTTCGGGCCCCGAAGGGGTGGACCACAAAGGCCCGCGGACACCAACGCCCCAGCCACCCGTTCAACACCAAAACCGCGGAGGACCGAAGCAACGAGCTCAGCTCAGCTGGTCATGGGGTGGACGAGCCAGCTCGTTCTGCTCGGGGAACGTGTGTGTTTCGACTCTCGGGCCGCGTGGTCGGCAGAAACGACCCGCCCGGCACGTGGCTCCGGAAGCCTTCGGCGGAGCCTGTGATGGGAGGCAAGGGTGGAAAGCACCGGTTCTTCCTATTCTTTCCTTGCAAAGACATCTTCCACTCCCATCTTTGCACCAACATCCTCCCGCCCAAGACCTTCCAACCACCCAAACCAGGACCATCAGCCTCATGCGTTGGATATCTTGCGACATCGCGACTTATGATCCTCATGTGGAACATCACCCCATCACCCCGGCAGGTTGGAAACATCTTCCACTCACCCCAAAAAACCGAGCTCTCCCTCTTCGGCTCGGCACCTCCGGTGCCGGATCAGCTCGGCGAGATCCAAGCAGAAGCCCAGCCTCAGCCACGCAGTCGTGTCCGGACGCTCCGTATGGACTCCGTCTTTTGTTCCCTCCAGTGGCGCAGTCTGGGTATACTGTAGGGTTGAATTTGGGCCGGTGTCTGAAGTCTGCGACGCCTATCAGCATGTGTAAGCAGCTTCCGATTCAATTCTTCCAATGTATTCGATTATATATGAAAATGACTCACCGATGTTCAGAAGGGTCACAGAATCCCCTAATGCCTGGGCCTTCGGACAAGCTCACATGTGAGCTGCAGGGCACATTCAGGTCCTGAGCAACGTTTCTATTCGCTCGCACGCGCGAATAGAAGATACGGTCCGGGGGTTGGCTCCAGGGTTGGCGGCCACGTGACCAGAAGAGTTGGCTTTGATTTGTTCATACCTTACTTTACAATTACAGTGGTTTCAGAGTAGATGGTGCAATCCCCCAAAGGTGGTTTATATGGACCCCCATATGAAAGACATCTGTGGGTTTGTGCCATCTATTCTGAAACCACTGTACATGCATCAATTTTTATGCGACATGTCATGCATCCACAAAGCCTGGCCATGATATATGTGATGATATAGCTATATAGGCTATATCAGCTATCGTTAGCTTCAAGCAGGTAGCTGCTCCCAACAAACCAAGCACCAGGCCTTCCCCACCCCCCCGTGCCGCACCCCAGAAAAAGCACCACCTGGCGCCCGAAAACCCTGAGCTGGCCCGGCGCGCCAGTCGCTGAAGAGCCCCACCATGGCGTCATTGAGGTCCCCATCGCGCCTCGGCGGTCCCCATTGGGTCGGCCGACCGCCCGGGAGCCGGAGACGTCGGCCCCTGCACCGACCCAGCTTTGGAGCTCGGAGACCTGCTTCCGGAAGCCGTTTGGGGGCGCTTCCGGAGCCGGATGGGGACCAAGGGAAGATCCAACATGATCGAACCAACTCGGAGAAACTGTCTCGAACCCTGTCTCGGTCGAGAAAAGGTCTAGGGTTCCCCAACATGGGCGCGTAGAGCGTCAAAGGCATGGACATCTTCGTGGTGAGTTGCTCGAACTCCTGTGGAGCATGTGGCGAATTGGATTGCAGTTTGGCTCGCAACGGCCAAAACCATGCCGCCACTGCCACACACCAACCCCCACCTCTCACCCACCACTCCAAAACTTCTTAGGCCCCCCAAAAAAGGTTGGGTGGCCAAAGGAAACCTCGTGAGAAAGATGAAGGCAGAACGGCACCACCGATGAAGAATCTCAAGTTCCTCCCCCAGTAGTGAGCCTGGAACAGCCAAGGGTTCTTTCCCCACTTTGCAGTTCGGCCAAAGATCAGTTCAAAAAGGAAGGGATGATTGGAAAATCGGGTCATGCCTTAAAGGTCAACGCCCTCTGCGTATCTCTGCGTCCTCTGGAAACATAAACGGAATTATGGACACGATAGTCTTACTTGCAAAGGAACCCAAAAAACCCTCGGAGTTTTGGTCGGAACATGCGCTGCACACATCTTCATTCCCGACGCTTCGGAGGTTCACCTAAGGTTCACGTGTGAAAAGCACCTCCAGCTAGGACAAAAACTATTCCCGATTCCCCACGTCTTCTACTTCGTCCACCGAAGGCGTCTTCACCGAGGCCCACCTGCTCGGTGCCGCCCCGGTAGAAGTGCCTGGAAAGTCTGAAGGATAACGACCCGTTCTTCGACCGCAGTCCGGACCCGATGTTTCGGGATGGCTTCGCCGGTTTCGGGACGACCCCGAAGAATCAGTGTTGGAACCCCACTGAGAGCAAACACAACATCTTCCAAGCATGTCTATAAAGAACTGGGACTCTAAGAAGATGAAAACATGTGTACCTGAATCTTCCTAGGGCTGCACTTTTTGCGCCTCCAACCTAGAAGGCGCCTCTAGGAACTGAGAGGCAATTTTTTTGCAAGAGGCGATTCTTGTGTTACATAGATTTCTCCCCAGTTATGTTGATAGAACATATGACATTATGATAACCGTGATAACAATGAAACTTATACACTTAACATATAGGAAAAACACCACAAACCTCGAACCATGAACCAACACATAAGTTATATGCATTCAAAAGGTTCAAGCATGATAAACCGTGAAACACATGAAGGCATGATAACTCACTGTGGAAAATTGACCGCACACAACATGAAACTATATATAGATATATATATATATATATGAACTGCATTGAACTGCTAATTGTCCACTTGGATTGGCCTGCGAAAAATGACCCCCACAAGTCCGACTTTCGCCTTCAAAACCTGCATTTCAGGCAGGTCGAACCGGACTTGTGGGGGTCTTTTTTGCAAGGAAAATTGCAAGTATGAACATGATATCGCGCAATTTGATAAACACACATGAAAACATGCAACACATGAAAACCACATGAAAAACCTGAAATACATGAAAAACATGAAACATATGAAAGCCACATTAAAAACATGAAAGCACAGGAGAGCCACATGAAAAAGATAACACATGAAACAGATGAAAAACACAAAATACACGCAAACAAGCATTAAAGCACATGAAAAACATGCAACATATGCAAAAACATGAAGCACGTGAAACAACGAGAGGCGGAACTTCCCGGGTAAGAGGCGGAACTTCCCGGGTAAGAGGCGGAATTCCCAGGTTATGAATTTTTGGCATAATGTTCAATTAAGTCGACAGGTTGCCGCTTTCAGGCTCGTCTCTAATCGAAAGGGGAAATGGCGTATCAGCTTCAATCCCGTGTCTTTTCGAGTTCGACACTGATGGCTGGTTTGACGTTAGTGCAAGAAGAGAAAGATGTGGACAAACTTGATGGAGACGATGCAACCCCGATGTCAGAGCTGCAACAACCGCAGGTGGGGCTGTTCGTTTCTATAGGTATTGATACTCACCTCTAGTCAGTGTTTTGGTCTGAACATTTCCTGGCTAAACATGTTAGCTTTGTTTTCTGCCGGTTGCACGCGCTCAGGTTGCAAATCCAGCAACTGCCTACTCCTATGAACTCTGCCTTGAAAGACCTCCAAGCGCCAAACACCTCGGAGAGTTATATACGTCTTGCCTGATGATGAAACTCAAACGGCTGGTTTGGGCTTGGACGCAGTTGCTAGCAAGCATGATGAAACTCTGTTTGCTTGGGCTTGACCGAAAATCTTTTATAATGTTGATATCATGTTGGTAGCTGTCGGCAGCAGCAGCGGAAGACCACCAAAAACATTACAAATGACAAGATTCCCTTCTACCAGAAAAGCACGAGAGGCAGTTTTTTGTTCTAAGCGGCAACTCTTGAATGGAGAGGCTAACATTTGAGCCTCTCTGCTAAGAGGCTGAGAAAAGCAACCACCGGAGGTTTAAGGTATTTATATATATATATATATCGTATATATATATATATAGTGAAGTTTGGAAAAGACGTTGCACAGTTGGAGTCTGATGAGATCATAATATGAGATCCATTCCTCAAGGCCTCCAACATGAGCCTCTCTCAATTTAGAATGAAGGGGCTCCCACAAAACAATGCCAACAATCAGTTGGACATATCCATTCTCTTTCACTTGTTCTTTAGATTCATGCTTTGGTGGCAAACCGGCTTTGCAGCCATAAGCACACATTCTTGGTTGCTTTGTCGATGATCGGAGGCGACGCGGCCCCGATCGGTCAGGTGGCCATAGCTTTGGGGCCAGCGGGTACTTTGAACAACGCAAATCCCACACTTGCTGTTGACAGAGCCCCCCGTCACGAACCAAAGAAACTGCTATCATCGACGTCGCTCATGCTCTCTCAGGATGCCGCGTGTGCTTTGCGACAAACTTCCTCAAACTTCGAGGGCTGCAAATGGTTTCAAGAAAACAGCTGCTAATGACTCCAGGCCCCTGCCTCCTGCTGCTCCCAATCCAACTCATTGCGCAATTTTTCAACCTTTTTGGTTGCTTTACCAAAACCTGCCACTGGGGCACGCAGCACGCTTCAAGCCAGCACACGCTTGCAGCCTCGTCGTTTGCCAACTTCCGAACCAGCGCTGCGCTTGGGCCAACACCGGTTCTGATCATCTCACTGACAGCGACCGCTTGCCGCTCCCACGACGATGCCACTGACTTGCTTGACCTGTCCCGAGACACAGCGACCGCTTCATTCAAAGTGATATACGCTGCTGCGCGCCGCTGCTCCGTTGCTACGCATCCTCGTCGGTGAATACCCACACACACACAGGCACCCATTTCGCATGAGCCGACCTCAGTGACTGCTAATCAGTCCACCCCCGAGGAACTCCGAGTCAGGATGACATCTCTTGGCTGGCGCCGCATTGAAGCTCCGGTCACATTTGTCAATCCTTGCCAAAGCTTGCTGATCCGAGAACCGCACGGGCCCTGTGACTTGATTGAAATGGATTGGTCCGGTGTTCTAAAAATGCGCGCTTATGATTCTTCACCTCTATTCCTGCATTCTTTTGGGATATGTATGCACATTAAATTCGAATAACGTCCTTAATTTCACCAATGGTTCCAGTCCAAGCGCACAGATGCATCAGTTGCAAAAAAATAGAGCTTCCTCAAATTGGAACAGGTTCGCAAAAGTTTTCAGGTTGCCGCCGCCTTGCACCATGGGGCGTGGGGGGCCTCGTAACTGAAGCAACCACAGGCAACGCAAAGCGAAAAATCTTAGGCCAAGCTTGCGCGTGTCTTGATGGCAACAAAGAAAAGGGCATCCCGTCCGTAAGCTCGTCAGCACCCCGCTAACATTTCTGACCCCAGCCTGACCCCAGCCTTGGGCCACCGCGTTCACAAAAACATTGCGCAGGCAAGCAAGCGCAAGCAAACCGCAAACCTGATCAAATCTTCTCAACTGTCTGACCAGGTCAACAATATCAGCCACAACATGCCTCTTCCTTTAGAACATGTTCTGAATGGTCTGATTGGCCAACTGTTTTGACGCAGCAACTGCCTCATTGCGCAAGCCATTTTCTCACCAACTTCAGCTTTTGGTACGCTTCCTGTATATGGCAGAAGCGAAGTGCCCACAGGCACATGCTGCACCCCCACGCACTTGACTTGACAGGCACCGATTTACCAGTGACTGGATTGGCCCAAAATTCTGGGTGATGCCGCAAAGCGCCTGGGCGGTAGGCTTGTCGGACTTCCGCTGCGCTGGCTGATTTCTGGAGCCCGAGCGCATGTCACATCCACCATGAAATGGACCATCAAACTCCTGATACAGCTCGCACGACCACGGTGAAAAGCCTAGCTTCATCTTCACGTTCATACCCTGCATGATCGTCTCCGCCTGGCCACCTTCCCCTCGCATGGCCGAAAGTCAAGTTGGATGATGACCCAAAATCCACAAGAATTGCTTTGGCTTTGTCATTGATTTTTGTTTGTCCCCTCAGCTTTTTCCACCTGCTCGGTGACTCAGCGCCTGACCATTCTCAGCACTTTCAGCTGCACGGTTTTCGATGAAAATCAACTCTGTTAGTCGAAGCATCCGAAATCCTGCACATCACTGCTCCAAAATATACACTAGCAGAGTCTAGAGCCGAAACCAACTTAGGCAGTGCCTGTGTTGCCGCGGGGTCAGCGCTGACTCCTCGCCACCATGCAATTTCTTCAAAATCGCAAAACAACTTCACAAGCACAGCACCACAACCAGAAAACTCAACTTACAGCCTTCGTGGCAGCGTCTATGGCCATGCACACGAGTTTCCAGGACAGCCGCTTCATGATGCGCCACCCTGACCGCATCTTGAAAGAACTTAGGCCCTCAGAATCGATGCTCCTCTTCCACCTGCCAATTCAGCTGTCGGATACGTTGTCAAGCTCCAGGCTCAACTGCCGCCTCCGCTAAGCTTCTCATGGGAACTCTGTGTTGGGAGCATGTTTTGGAATACTTGGGGAATGCAGACACTTGATTGCAAGATATTGCAAGTAGTTCGGACAAGCTGCAGCTGAACTGCTTCCACTTTGAGCCTGACGCATCATTTTTCAAGAACCAAGTTGTCAATAGCTGGCCTGGGCTCAAGTTGTTTCGGGGGCCCACCATTGGTTCTGATAGCACTCATGCACTCACAAACAAGTAAAGCATAGCAGCCGCAACGCTGAGATCCTCCCCGGCCGGAGAGAGCTAGCTGCGAAGGTCCGGCCACATCGCACATGGTTGCTTTCTGTCAGCTGAGTCATCGGCGAACCCAAACTGGGTCATGGCTACTCGTCTCAATTTTGCTGGCGATTCAGTGATGATTCCAACACGCACTCGCTGCTCAGTTCCACCCATGTTCACAACACAACTCGAAAATGTGTTCAAAGGACATTCATTGAGCGTGGCTGTTGACTATGATGTTGCACTTGGGATTGATTTCTGTATGTTTCGAAGCAAATATGTTTGTTGCTTTCAAAGAAAAAGACCAGAAGCAAAAACAGGATCTGAAAAATAGCAAGCCTGCAAACTGCTCGTCAAAATTTGCACGATCGCTAGTTACTGGCAACCTTTTTCAGAGAACCCCTGAAATGGCTGCACAGGGCAGCAGCGGACCCCACCAGACCGACATGACCTCCGTGTCCACGCGCCACCGGAAAACACCCGAGACCCGCCCTAAGGCGCCTGGTCCGGTCCATTTGCCAGCTGGCTCGGAAGCTGGCCGCCAACACCATCGACAGCAGCACCACGTCAAAGGGCACCGCGTACCTCGTGGACTGCAAGGCGCGGAACAAGTACCACGCGCGGAACGGTCCCGCAACCGGGAGCGACGTCGCGTAGCTCGTGGACCATGGAAACCCGCCGGCACCGGTTTCCATCTGCCGTAGCTCCTTTTTCGCACTCGAAGCGAGTAGACACCACAAAATTCGAGCCCAAACGGCTCAGTAAAGGAGCCGTTCTTCAAAGGAACGGTCAAAATTCCGGGAGTGGGGCTGGAAACGCACAACGGGCCCTTCAAAAATGCCGTCGCTCCCGCCACCAAAACTCTCAAAGGAATTGGGCCAAGCTCACAGATCTCACAGCTTGCTTTTCCGGGCCTGGAGCATAGTGCTGGGTGATCTCTTCAAAAGAATTATTGGGCCTTGCCAGCCACTTCTGGCTGGTATTGTGTGGGATCGTGAACCAAACATGGCACAGTTCCCTGACGAAAGGTGTTCATCCATTCATCTACATCCCCATATAATGAGCTTCTGATGTCTCTGTTCTTGGCCTGCCCCACCAACCGAACAAGAACCCCCAATGGCGTCATATACTTAGTGCATAGCCGCTGCACGACTTTTGCCGTCTCGCACTGGAGTTGGTGTCCAGCCAAGCGATTCACATCGCCTATGGCTTGTCGCCACCACCCCTCTCCACTGCTTCCAGCTGCGTGTCAGCCTCGTCATCCTCAGGTGTAGTGCACGTGCTGGTCCACATTGGCCATCTTTCGTGCCAGTCCTGACAGGACATCCCCCGAGTCATGGAGGTAGCGCTGTACCGCCGAGGACGTCCATCTCCCTGTCCTCTTCACCACCTCGATCTCGCCCGTCGCCTGGTAGAGCGCCGAGGCCCCGCCGATCCGGAGCGAGTGGGACTGGAACCGTTCAGCAGGTAGGCCGAGGGCACGAGCGGCCCGCTGCAGCAGGTTCTGCACCTCCAGGCGCTTGATGACCGGGCCTGATGCCCATCGAAACAGCGGCAAATGGCTCTCCGGTCCCCGCCCAAATCGCCTTGGTGCCACCTCCCGAAGACGATGTAGAGCCGTGACCACGCAAACGAACTCAGCCTCCGTCTTCAGCATCGTCTTGCAAGTCCCGAAGGCCTCTTGATCCGCCTTGGTCTTGCGAAACTGTAGGGTCACCTCCTGGGGATCGTTCTCATCTGCCAGGCCACGGGTCGTGAGGGAGACATCTTGGCCTCTGACGATCATCTCCTGGTCAACCCCACTCGAATCTGAGAACTCTCTGGCTTGGAGCATAAAGAACCAGGCAGTGACCACCGCGGCATGAATCATTCTGCAGTCGACCTTCAACTCCCCCATCGATTCCGCACCCGAGGCCATCTGCTTGCCCAGCCACTTGATCATCTGCACGGTGACACCCAGCCGTCGCGGCCTCTTCACCGAATTCTTCTCCAGCGAGTTGAGGACGATCCATAGCCGATGCATCTTGACGATCGTGTCTCCGTGGCCCGCTCTCTTGTGTGCGTCCTTGATGGCGAAGACCGCTTGCTTCATAGTGGCGACCGAAGTCCCTAGCCAGCCCAGGTAGCCCAGGTAGCCGAGGACCTTGTTCTCGTTGTTGATCGGGTCGCCATTGTGGTCGAGGTACGGAGTCAGCCAGCCTTGGCGTCGGCTCCAGTCACACCACTTGCCCCACGCGGTGGCATAGGCCTTCTGTGTGCTTGCGGCCTTGTCTCCCACCAGGTGTGCTTCAAGCCATTCCTCCACTTGCGCCTGGACCTCCATGTCGGGGTTGAAGTCCGGGTTGAGGTCAATGAACTTGGCCCCAGTCTCCTCGACCGGTTTCACCTCCTTCTTCCGGCGACCTCCACACCTTCTGTCTTCACTGCCCCCAAGGCCTTCATCGCCCCCATCGATGGCCTCGAGCCACAACTCCTCGCCCCAGAACCACACGCGTTGGGTGAGCTCCTCCGCGCCCCCGGCTTTGCGATCTGGTAGGGCGCGCCCGAAATCTCCTCGCCGCCATTTCCTCAGCCACTGCAGCAAAATGCCCAAAGACTTGTAATCCTCCGGGTCGACACACATCCCTGCCTTCCCTTCTTGACTTTCCTTGGCAAGCTCCGCTGCAGTGCTGATCAGGCTCAGGGCCGTGCGGCGTCCTGTCGCCTTGCAACCCTCCTTCTCAGCCTCTTTCTCGCCGACCCTCTTCACCAGGTCATCCCACTCATCAACGCGTCTGCCCTGTAGTACCCAAATCTCTTCACCGGCAAGGCTTCTCACCTTGCCCACCGGGGCGGCTCTATCCCGCACCAGGATTCGCTGCATGCCCTTCTCGGTCGGGTCGACGAGGGGCCACCGGCAAGGTCCGCTGAGCGAGTAGACATTTTGTCTTTCTCCTTCCCCTTCAACCCAAGCATGAGCGGCGACGACCGGCAACATGACCTCCTGGCCCGCATTGATCGCCGTCTCATACTTCTGGATCTGGATGCAGTTGCCCTCTTGGAGTTTCTTCAAGTAGGACCCCATCGCTGGCGGAGTAATGGACTTCACCATCAAAAACTCCACGTCCTCCGTGGACTTCTCAAGGGGGTGACAAAGCCGGCGATCCGTCGCCTCACCATGGCCTCCCCGAGCTCGGACGTCAGAAACTCCTCCTGGAGAGTGCAGCTCCAACCCACACTTCTTGCCCAAAGCTCCAGGCCCGCCCATTTCACCTCCGTTGGTCCCTCCAGCACCGCCACATCAAAGACCTCGCTATCGAGGTAGGCGACGAACTCCTTCACTTTCTTCCCTTTGGGGTCCGGGCCGATGGTCGCGGCTATCACCCGATACCTGCTGGGTTCTTGTCCCCCTCCAGAAAAGTACTCAAAGTCCTTAACGAAGCGCTGGCCCGGGGTCCACTCAATCACCTCGACCTCATTCAACTCCGCGGGCTGCCGCAGAACCGCTCTAAAGACTCGTAGCTCTCGCAGCCGCATCAGCTCGTGCCTGTCTTCCTGATCTGCCCAGGAGAGGAAACACAACCCGAAGCGCTCTGTGTCCTCGAGTGCATGATGGATGCTCTCCTTGATGTCCACCCTCTCCCAGCCTTTCTTCTCCATGAGCTCGACCGCCTCCTTCTCCTCCAAGCGGGTCAGCGCGTCCGCATCCTCATTGTGAAAGGTTCTCCACCAACCCCCCAGAATGCGACATCGGTGGCGCTTCTCAACCAGGTTCAACACCCTGATCAACAGCCTTCCTGCACGAACTCCGCTCTTTCGTCCGGTGATCCAGAAGTAGACCACCTTGTTGTCCCCGGCATACACGACCACACGGCCTTCCCACAGGTGCCCAACCTTGCAAGCAAAGGCCACGAAGCTCAACATCTCTCCAAGATGAATAGCCAGCTTGCCGTCCTCGTGCCCCTCAGCCTCGGTGACTTGCTTGATCCATGGCTTCAGGAGCTCAACTTCCTCTCGGCATGCGAGCCGGTTGGTCCAATCAATGGCCGCGACGACCGTCGGAGTAGCATCTGAGGACACGAAGACTGGGCCACCACCTCGCTGTCCTGGTAGTGCCAGCCGCTCTAACGGGGGTAGCAGTTCCCGGAGGTCCCCGCCAAACTTCGTGGCCCACGTCTCAGACCTGGCACACAACCATCGGCAGTCCTCAAACAGCTCCCACAGTGCTTCCCAGCTCTGTTTCTCCTCTTCGACCCTTGCATGCTCCTCTTGCTGGACCAGTTTCGGCTTAACCGCCGCCCCGCCATCGATCCCACCAAGGAACACATCAGCACTGCGGAGCTCATTCTTGAGTCCAGAGACCACAATGCTCCACCCATTGGCAATCCCTCGAAACCTCTGCAGTTCCTTCAGCGGGAGGTCCTTCTCCCCATAGTTGAAGCACGACTGAGCGAGGAGGTAGGCCCCTTTGAGGATGCGCGCTTCTGGCAAGGACATCCTCTCAGCATCCGCATCGATGATCAAACCCCACACCGTCTGCTGGTTGCTGTAGCAGCCCTCCTCAGCATCCTTGAGCTTGTTGATGGCCTTCTCGCCCAACAACTTGGTGACCGCCCATTCGTAGACCTCGCTGGACACCCATGGCCGCAGGCCCATCACTGGTTCGACTAGCACCATGTCGTCCACCAAGATTTTTCCGCAGAAGTGCAACTCTCCATCTCTACGGCTTTCAACCGGGCGGAGACTACGATGGACTTCCTCCGTGGCCCGTCCCCACGCCGTCCATTCCCCAGGCAAGCCAGAGAACCCGAAACTGGAGACCAAGTAGATGACCGTGAGGTCTCCCAAACCATCAAGCCCTGCCTCCGCTCCTCCTGGGCCCATCAGCTCTGGCTTCCAAGGGACGTCCCCTGCGAACAGCTCCACGTCCCGTGGGTCAACCCACAGCAGGCGGAAAGCCCCGGCTACATCCTTCTTGGCCAGGACGACCTTGACGCCCGGGTACCTCGCCTTCAGCCATAAGATGCGCCTCGCGATCTGCTCGTGTGTAGGTTGCGAAGCCGGAGGATGAAGATCCTTGTGGGTTCCCCCGTTGACTTGACGCTGATCATGCACCAAACGAGCCTCCGTTGACAGGGATCGATTCGGCAGCATCTTAGGCACGAGCTCAAAGGGCGACGAGACCGTGTGCTTCAAGGCTGCATGGCTTGCAGAAGCAACCAGGACCCGATGCTTGGCAATGTCCTTCATCAACTGCACATAGACCTGGCCCATGTCTGCTCTGGCCCGCGGGTGTGGCCGCGTCGTGACCCTTTCCCGCTTCCCTTGAAATCGTGCTGGCATTCCTTGGGCTCGCACCTCCCTGAGGTAGGCTAGGTGGTCGGGGTGCAGCAGCTCAGACAACTCCTCATCGTCTGCCCCTTGGAGGTTGTTCCGTCCAAGGTGTTCCCTGGCTACCCACAATGCCATCGCAGCTTTTTCCACCGAGCCGGTGAGGTCAAGAAGCAGATCTCCTCGTTCCCGAACTGCTTGCCACTCCCGAGCTCCATTGCCCTGGATCTGGTCGACCGCCTGGATGTAGCCCAAGGCCGCCGTGGCCGCCTTCCCTGAGACTCCGGCCTTCTCAAAGTCGACCCAACTGCTCCCACCGGCCCTCGTGCCCCTCCAAGACCACGAATGCCACCCTTGCCACCTTCCTCGGTCGCCTAAGCTCTGCCAGTCAGTGGAGCCATGTGAATTCCAGCCTTCGGACCAATCATCTTGCCCGTCTCCTGGTTCAGGGCCTCCTCCTCCAGCATCAGGACCATTCCCCCTTCCAATCGGGATCTCTACCCACGGGACCTGTCCGTCCTCGAACACGAAGAGGGTAGCTCCAGTCCAGGGTGCAAACGGCGGTTGACCTCTGCCTCGGTCCCTCCAATCATCGTACACCTCAGCGACTTGCAAGCGTCCCCACTCATCCCGCCTCTCACATCTCGTGTATCTCTCACTGTGAAAGCGGTGTGGCCAGTAGGGGTACGGCAGCTCTTCCGGGACCACCAGATCATTTCGCGGCTCATTCGTGTATATCCAGACGTAGCCCCTCTCCGCATCCACCTCCATGCGGTTCCGACGCCCAAGGTTCTGCCAAACGATGCGTGTCCGAGGCTCCTCATCCGTGGTGTTCTCTTCCTCCCCTTGGAAGTCATCCTGGTCCTCCAGGTCGTCTCCCAGGTCATCGCCTTCGGGCTCCTCACGCTGCGGGTTCAAAACATCGACACCATTCCACACCCCGATCGCCTCGTCAACTGCCATCCCGGCCACCTCCTGGAGCTCATCCTCGTTCAGCAGGTCCAGCCCAAGGTCGTCGCCACCGGCATGGTGACCCTCAGCTGCGGCATGGTGGCCCTCGGCTGCGCCACCAGCGCGGTCACCCTCATCGGCCGCTGGCTCCTCCTCGTCAACGAGCTCATGCTCATTCCAGCCATATGGATGACGCCCCCCAGTTTTTGACAAGGGGGGCTGTGGCTTTGACCCGCGACACGTGGACCCCCGGTCGATTGCCTTTGAGTGCAATATGTTGATGACTTGCTGACACTCCTGGGCACAAACGAAGCAGGGCTTGGCGCAAAGGTGGATGATGAGGGAAAGCCAGTCCGGTGCGGTGGCGGTAGAACTGTCCCACCGTATCAGGAGGCCCCAAGCCGAAGGCACACATGTCAATCTCGATGAAGTCCACGTCCGGTCGTTGGAGCAGGCGTCGCCACTGCGGAAGGTGCCATTGTTTTGGGTACCGTCCTGAGGTCCCGGAGCTCTCTGCAATGGGGAAGCCACCTTGCATCAGTGAAGTCTCGAAAACCTTGGCCCCGTATGCCGACAAAGTGTTGCCCAGCTGCTCCTTGGCGGTTGGCAACCCTTCTGGGTTCTGGAAGGTGCGCGTTCCGCCATTCTGCAAGCACCAATCACAAAAGGTGGTGCACGGGCTTGCGATCCATTGCACATTGGACTCCTTTGCACGTAGGCGACCAAGGAAATGTTCTTGCCGTAACGGGTCCGCCAAGTCGTGGTCTGGTCGAGGTCCAAGCTGCTGGTGCGGCTGTGCATACAGCTCGATGGGCTCCAGGGCCGTTTGGTTAGCAGCCCGCCATCCTTTGGTGATGACCCCATGACCTGCAAAGTACTCCTGAAGGACGAGACCCTTCTGGCCCTTGACTTCATGTAGGGACCGGATGACTTGGCCGCCACCCGCGAAGACCTGAGAGAGGGCTGGTAGACAAGTTGTCTTCCTCAGACACCCCATCGGTACCGGTTCCTCCATGCCTCCTCCTTTCCGAGTTCGGCAGTGACGGCATGAAATGATTCCCGGGGCTGTCTTGGCTTGATCGTGCCGTTGATGCCAAAAATATCGGAAGCCCAAGCAAGGGGTGTTGTACACCTCTTCCTTTCCCAACAGAACCTTGCCTGCCTCCGGCGAAGGTGGCTGAAGGAGCGTCATGTGGCCCTTTGAAATCATCACCCAGATGTCCGACTGAGTCCACTGGTTGCCCGTGACCGTCTCGATCAACAGGTCCCCTTTGTAGTCAACCCTCACCACGATGACCCTCATCTCCTCCAGCGCTGCAAGCGGGAAGACGGCTAAGGCCCTGTAGTCCTTGTCGTGGTGGGGTTTCAGGATGTCATGAGCGTACATCCGCAACTCGTGCTCTACCGGCGCCACCTTGGCCTCTGAGTGGCCCATGACGCCTTCGGCTTCCACGGCCAGTCTGGCCTGTTCCAACCGGAATTCCTGTGTCCCTTTCTCTACCTCCTCCATGGTTGGGACCTTTCCTTGCTGTGCCAGGTGCAAGCCAGCCGCTAAAACCTTCGTTACGCACTGCCTCTTCTCGTTCTCCGGCTCGATCACCCCCAACAAGCCCGCCAGCTCCTCTGTCATGTAGACCATCTCGCCAAAGTCCCACAACGCCCAAGGTTCCCCGTCGATGTGGACCAAAGCTCGCCCCGGGCCTTCGTCCTCCCACCGGGTGTCCCCCAGCTGGCACCGTGCCTGATGGCCCGCCTTGGGCCCTTGTCCATGGGCCTCCAGCAAAGACGCGGCCTCTGCCGCCAACTCCCCCAAGCCGTACTGGACCATCTCCTCCAAGAGGGTTTCGAAGGAAATTGCCGGGTCATTGGCCACCCTAGTGGATGCCCAAGCGTACAGATCATCGGTGCGTCGTCCGGACCTGCCACCAAGTCGGCGAAGTCCTTCTCCTGGTGCGTGTAGTCGACCTGGATCATCTCCTCTGGCGCCTCCCAATGCACCCGCCCTCCTGCCTTTTCGGGACCTTCTTGATCTCCCTCCTTGGCTCCTTCTCCTTGCCCCGCTCTCCGGCGGTCTTTGCCATCCTGCACCTTAGCGGCTTTATCCTTGGCCACTCCGGCCCGGATCTCTTTGATTTTCTCGGCCGCGGTGTCTTTCGTCTCCGCCTTCATCCTCCTCAGGCCTCCTCTCCGAAGCATCTGAAGTTGCACCGCGGGGTCAAGAGCTTCAAAGGGTCCTCGAAGTGGTTCATGTGCTCTTTGACAGCCTTGTTGCGAACAGCCCAGGTGGGTCAAATAGCCCCAACACAGCAATTTGCCGTCCTTGTTTGTGGGCGCCCGTTCCTTGGCCTTCGCCGTCTCCTCGGCAGTGAGCTTGGGCCCAAACAAGGTCTTTAAGGTCAGCTTCTCATCCCGATGTCCTCCGTCTCCTCCTGCTGACTGACCTTGGGCCCTGCTTTTTCCTGCTCCTTCCCAGGTCATCTTCCATAGCATCCTTTCTTGGCGTCTCTCAATCCTGGGCATCACCTCTGACATGAACCATCCTTCTGGCCTTCTCAGATCAAAGGTCTGTGGCAGGTTCAAAGGAGGACGTCCCTCTTCATCCGGCATAAGGGCGTAGAACTTCAGGTCCTGCAACGTCATGGACTCTCGACCCGAAAGCCGTTTAATCTTCCTCAGCTCTTCCTTCAGCTCTTCGAGAAATCTCCAGCGCAGTTCCTCCCACACGTCCAGCAACACCTGTAGGGGCCACTTGTGAGGGGCGCTGACATGCCACTCTCCCAACAAGTTGATGGCGTGCTCCCGGACTGCTTTCCATTCCATGCCGTACACGAGTGCCCAAATGTCGTTCTGGCGTTTCACCCGGTTGAGCCAGTCCTCATAGCGGGTAGGGGCCGTTGGCCTCTGCTCATTGATGGGCTTGCCCGTTCTGCTCTCGATGGCGAACTGGTCCAACTCTGCGTCCGTGCAGGGAACGAAGTCGGAGGCGCTCAAGGCGTACTTCTCCTGCGTGCCCCAGTAAGGTCCTGCAATCCCGATGGCCAGCCTGGAGGTGATCTTTTGGCGGAATCCAGCACTTCGCAACTTCGTTGACGACCCTGCCTGGGCGGCCAGAAGTGCTTGAGCGAGAGGTGCTCCGTACTCACCATCGCCGACTCGTACGGTGTACTCACCGCATGCACGCAGCAAAAATACCAGTTCTTCAGAAGTTTTGCCCAAACCTTTCAAGGAGCCGCCAGTGCCTGTAGTGGTCTCCTGCTGGGCTTTGACCAACGTAGCCAATTCGTTGGTTTGTTGCTGGATCGCTTTGGCGATGTCGGTCATCTCGGAGTGACTGCCTTGCCCTTCCGGCCCGGTTCCGGCCTTCCGATCTGGGTCATAAATTCCCGGTGGAGGTACGGATGCCAACCTCCGTTTGGGGGGTGTCTCAGCCATGCCTGGGCTCACGGCAGACTTCGTTCCTGATGCCAGGCTGGATGGTGTAGGGGTCATACCTTCTCGCTCCTTGTCGACCACGCTCCATTCCGACATAGAAGAAGGGCGGTCCTGAGCTGCCGCCTGTTGACGCCACTTGGCCAGGAACTTGGTCAGACCCTTCGTGCCTTTCCTCTGTTCTTCCGTAGCCTGTTCATACAGGTGCCTTGTAAGGTCGCCCACCGTCATCCCGGCTTGAGCTGCTAACTGCTTCCTGATGTCCTCTTCACTGAGCTGCAACTCTCGACCATCCACCATTTGCTCCATGAACTCCTCCAGGTAGGTCATGTCGCCTCGACGGTCCGGGGAGTTGATCATACCCATTCGTGCCAAACTGTGTTGAACCGAGGACTTAGGTGTATGCCCTGGCGATGAGACTCTTCTTCTGCGGAGTGCCGGAGTTTCTTCCTCCTTCTCGTCTCGCACTTCCCGAAGGAAAGATTCAGCCTCATCCACCTGGTAGGAGACCTCGCGTCCTCTCCCACGGCGCTTCACCCGGTCGTCACCTTCTCCTTCTCCCCGTTCATCTCCTTCACCTTCTCCCGGGGGTGGGTCCCTTACCCTCGATCTCGACCGTGAGGACCGCCGCGAGGATGTCGACGCCTGTTCCTGGTGGAACCCACATAGACGTAGACCCTGCTTCGTTACCATTCCTAGTTTCTGGCAGCCTCCGTAGGAACACTTCATGACTGCTCTCGATGTCAGGTAACGGACCGCATGAGCAGGGCAGAGGGTGTTCGGTTGGTCCGCGGGAAGGTTCTCACGATCCTCCTCCAGCATTTCGACCTCCGTGGCCCCGAGATTCCTGCATGGGTGGTCGCTGAGGCAGGATCTGCCCATCTCACCTTCCCACTTCACCCAGTGGGCGCAGCATCCCCCTACCTCCTCCTTTTCCGACTCGGAGGCATAGTCCTGAAGCCTCTTCGCCGTCTTGCTGGCCTTGGAGAAGAGCCATCCCATCGTCTTCATGCCGGTCCTCTGAGCTCCCGAGGCTGTTGAAAGCAGGTGGAAACGTTCGGGATTGAGCTGTCGTGCCAACGCGTAGCTCTTGAAGTGTTGACCCTCCTCCGGACACGTATCGTGCCTGCACAAGTGCACCCGGTCGTAACCCTTCAAGGCAAGCAGAAGCTGAGCATCTCCCCTGGTCGCCTCCGGGTCGAAATTCAGGTAGATGCCGCTGGACTTGATCGCCGCATTCTCGGTGACCTTGATGATGACCACATAGCCATCCCTCCGCAAAAGGACCCATCGATCCTCATTGGCCCCCTTTTTCATCTTACGAAGGTCAGCCGTCTCCGGGATCTCTCCAGTGTCTGGGCCAATGAAGGTCGCTCCCATCGCTTCGGGTACACCCCCGGCCATCCGCTGGGTGTAAAAGGCGACCCGCCCGCAGCATCGCACCAGGGCCCGAACCACCCACACCACCGTCAGGAGGGTTCCAATCGCCAAGGAGCACAGCGGCCAGGCCAAGGAGAGAAAGTAGTGGAGCACGATGCAAATCACCATCAAAAAGGCCACCCGTAGGAGCAGAGAGCAACCGGTCCTGACACTGGCCCAGCTCTGCCCGAAGACCATCCAGCCTGCCCCGGACAGCAACGTGTCCAGAATGGTCCATGCCAGGCTGTCCCAAGTCGTCCACGTGGCATAACGCGCCTGGGCAGCGGCCATCGTGGAGTTCACCTGCTGCTGGAGGCACAGGAAAGGCTCCTCCCAGCAGGTAGCGTTGGGTGGCGCAGGCTCGGCGTCCCCTGGAGCCTGCCACCACCCGTCGCTAGGGCCCGTAGCCCACCAAAGGCCGAGGGCCAGCCATCGCCACCGCATCATGGCGCCAGCCCCCCAACAAAAAACCTGGGCCACTGAGGCCAAAGGCTGCGACCGAACGTCAAGCGTCACGCTCAAAGTATCGGTTGTGAAAACCTCCAATTATGACGATCACACCATTTTCAACGTTGAAAAGCCAGCACCTTGTGCGTCCAAAGACCCCTATCAGCTAGGCCAACACCAAAGCAGGCAGGTGGTGGCATCCAAATCCCCCCATGTACTTTTCGGATGGGTTTGCCCACCTACTTCTCCGGTCGCACCCGCGGTAGGACGAGGTTGTGGGTGCCAGGAAGGACTCCAAAGGTCCATAGATTCTCAGTGAAATTGAAGCGATCGACTCAAAAAGCCATACCAGGACCCCCCCAAACATCCAAGATCCGCCAAACATGGATAGCCCCACCCTGTCCAGAGCACCCCCCTCCCGCCACCCAGGCGAAATCCGCCTGGGACAGCGCCTGGCCGATGGCTTGTCGCGCGGCCAAATCCAGCAGCACCTGTTTCAGTCGGGCCGGTTCCCGCGACGGTCGCACCCGCACCTGACCACCAGGGCAGCCCCACACGCTACACGCTACACGCTACACGCGCACTCCTCCTCCCACGGGCCTCCTCAGAGCCGCCAGGGATCGCCGAGGCACGCACCTCGCGGTAGAGCCGCTCCACCAGCTTGCCGGGGCCTTCGCGCACCAGCGACGAGCCGCCGAAGACCTAGGACCGGGGTGCCCCAAGTGAAGGGACAAGGACGCTACGAGCGGAACTAGCAAGAACGCTACCAGTAGCTCCTGGCATTGCTACTAAGGTGTTGGGGAACAGGTGAAAGAGGCAGGTCAACAGGTCCCTCTTTTTGGAGGGCTCTCGGTCCCTCCAAATCTGGACGCGGCCCACAACGACCAAGGACGGCGGCGCGCGACCCACACGCGGGCGCCTGCGCCGCCTCGCGGGCGCAGTACTCAAAGGTCTTGGAGGACATGACCTTCAGCAGCCCGCACTGCGCGCCCAGGCGCGAGTCGGGCACGCCGGACTTGTACCTTGCGCGGTTCGCCCCAGAAGACTCGTGGGGTCGAAGGTGTCTGCCAACGGTCGGAAGGTCGAAGGTCAAAGCAAAACTCAGACCAACCAAAAGGAACAAAAAGCATCAGAAAGGGAGCCGCTCCCACTCCAGTTTGGGTCCAAACCGACCAGTTTGGGTCTGCAGCCTTAAACCGCTTGCCAAGCAACTGGAAGGCCACACGCTCGTTGTAGTCGTGGAGAGCTTCCACCTGCAAGCTCCAATGACTTGAACCCTGACCCCTGTTTTGGATAGGAAAAGAAGATGTCTTGGAGCCAAAACATGTTGGGGTGGTGGATGATCCAAAATAGGGGTCACTCAGGTTTTAGGTAGAAGGTGGTTGGATCCAGTGACTGGTTCCGCTGCGCGCATCGTGCTTTCTTCACGGTTTGAAAGCCATGAAACGTTACGCCGTACTCCCCCTTCGCCGGCAGAAAGATTGGGACTCGCGGAGGTTCAACAATGAAAGTTATTTCTTCCTCGAAAGTTTCAGGCTGCAAGATTTGGTCTTGGAAGCTGGTGACTTGAGAATGGACCAAAACTAACACAAACCATGAAATGGATCACAAAGGCCTCTCAGAATTATCCTTCCTATCCCCGGTTGTCCACAGATCTCCACATGATCTGATGCCCCGCCCACGGAACTTGCCCCCGCGACGTCTCAGAACAGTCCGATGCCCCTTCCGCCTGTCGTAGCATCTCTGCCAGCTTCCATCGGATCATCTGATGCTCCTGGCCGTTGTTTGTCCTATGGGAGAAATGGAACGTGTCAGAACAGTGATACTATGGGAGAAGACTATGGGACAAGACTATGGGATAAGACGTTGAAAGGTCGGAACAGTGGTACTAACAGTGGTACTTCCCAATATGTCGTCCACATGCTTGCTGAGGTCCGACCTCGCTTTTCGGTCCCAAAAAAGAATCGTTGAACAAATCTCAGACATGTCTACAAGAGGCCCTGAACCAAACACCTTTGCCGGGTGGGGAAAGGACAGGATTCTTTTCTTGGATTTCGGGGTTTGATTTTGTGCTGCAACTTCATCCCCTAACAAAATGTGGAGACGAGAAAGAGTTGGAGGGTGTCTGGTGTGTGGGGGGTAATACGATGTTATCCTTGCTCTTCCCTGTTCCCCTGGGGTCTTTGGGAGGTCTGCTACATACTAAGACCAATATCACTATTTATATCATATCCAATGCCCAAGATCTCCCCTTTGCAGCCAGGAGTCATGCAGAGCCTTCCCAAAGGTCTTCCGTCGCAAGGAATATTTCCTTGCTGTGGCCAAGTTGTCATGGTGTCGAGTCACACCCCGAGGTGTGGTGCGAGAAACTTAGGAAAAAGTCAAAGAGAGCGGAATCACCCCAAAGCAAACATGTTCTCGATGTTGTCTTCACCAGTGCCCTGCAGACTTCGCAAGAGTCATGAGCGTGTTGATCAGTGAGAAGTGCAAGCCCTGTGGCTTGAAGATGAGGCTACTAGGGGCTCCTAGCATCGCTACTAGGAGCAAGAAGCTACTAGCGGCTCCTGGCCTTACTACTAGGAGCAAGGACGCTACTAGGGGCGCCTTCAATATCCTTCAATCAGTGTAGCCCTGATTCAGATTCCCAAACATTCCGAGCTTGCTCAAAGCTCTTTCCGAAAGCTCCACCGCAGAGAAAAAGACCTTGGAAAAAAGAAGGCCAGACCTTCTCTTTGGACGCTTCGATCGTTCTCGTGGTGTGGGCCTTCCCTCACCCCTTCCCCCTTCCCCCTTTTCTGCGATCGTTTCGATCCAGTCGATCGTTTTCAAACGGCCTCTTCGTTGGTCTCCAACGGTGTCCAGTCCGTTCCAGTGCCGTCCGAGGTACAGGGCCTCGGCGTAGCAAAGCCGCGCGAAGCGGCAGGTGGACACGGAGATCACGAAGCGCTCGTGGTTGAAATTGAACATCAAATATTTGAAGCCCTTGCCTGGCAGCTTCCAACAAAATCACGGAACTGTGATGAACTGCCTCCATGGCATTTTGCTGTTCATCCTCCAGGGCCTAGCATGCATTTAGTACATCTGTCAAATGTGATATAGTGTGATGCTTGAAGCATGTGCAAACAACCATGTTTGTGCGCTCGCCTTCCTCCCCGATGAGGTTCGCTTTCGGCACCCTCACATCCTCGAAGTCGAGGAACGTCGTGCCATGGCAGCTGTCGAACTGCATCTCCATCCTCCTGGAAATCTGTCCCAAACTGAAGAGGAGCGGAGAGCAGTTTGGCTTTCTCAGCGTCTCCAAACTGAAGAAACCCGCCAAGCCAAGAGCGGAGAGCTTTTGAACACTTGATTCTTGATATCACATGCTGAGCCAGCGCTCTCTGAGCGCTGTATGTGGCAGCACACCTGGCTCTACATTGATCTACAATGGATCCTCTAAAGCATGAACCCAGTGGAATGTCTATCCTTTCCTCTTAAACCCCACCAACACGCCTGTGGTGAATCCTGATCGTCTGCTTTCTTCAGATTTTGGGGATGTCGGGCACCCCCCCACAGCGAGAGCATGCACATGCTCCATCAATCTCCTCCTATCTACGAAGTACTGTACACTGTAGACTCTTGATGAATAAAGCCCCCACCCACAGACAGACATGGACATGGAGTGTAAAGCCTCTTCAGGCTTGAGGGAGTTGAAATGTCATGTAACTGCCTACATGAACTCCATTGAACTCCCCTCTCCAGGAACCTTCCAAACGCCCGGCGTCATGCTGCGGCTCCGTCAGCTTCTCCCACCCGCTCCTCACGCGCACGCCCGGCGTCCGCGCGTCCACCAGCAGCAACGACAAGCCGCCGGCGCCCGCCGCGCCGGTGCGCACGGCCAGCGTGAAGTAGTCGGCCCTGGTGAGGCGAAACGGCGGGAGACCGGACCAGCGAGGTTCGCAGTGGTCTACGGAAGAGCTGCGAGGACGGAGGGGGTCAAGTGCGAAACGGAGAGGTTTCAGCAAGGAGTTTCAGGAGTCTTTTTGGGTTTTTGGAGTTTCAGGACTCAATTTCTTGGTGCGTGTTTTCTGGAGCAAGCAGTGCTTTTTGTTGGGTGCTTCACGCATGGGAGTCTTAGACATCAAGCAGATTTCGGAAGGAAATTACAAACGATGGCGTGGGAGCAGCAAAGTGGCCAGAGCTCAAATGGCAAAAAATGTCAAGTACCTTCCAAAATGCTCTCATCATCCCTCCAGATCCTCCATCCCAACAGTTGCAAGTTGCAGGTTGCAACTCATCCCACTCAGGGTGGCGCATGTGTCCACCAGTGATCCACTTCTTCTGCCCGTTCACCACGTAGACATCCTTCTCCGCCACGGCAGAGGCGCCGATGTTCGCCACGTCCGAGCCGGCGCTGGGCTCGGAGATCGCTAGGCTGATGTTCTTCCCTTGGAGCGCCAGCGCGAGACGTGGAGACCGGGAGACTGGGAGAGGTCTCCCGCAAAATGGCGTTGTCTTGTTTTTCTTTCAGGAGACACGGTGTTTGGTTGAAGGAAGTGACCATGTTGGCAGGTGAGACACGGGTTTGTTTCGGTGTTGATCTCGCTTAGAGAAGTGGTTTCTGGCCCCCCACCTATCATCTGTTTCCATCTTCAAAGCACCCGGCAGAATCAGCAAGTTTGTATGTCATATACCTGGATCTTCAAACGGCGCAAATGCAAAAAAGTTAAAAGACCGTAATCAACAACAATTGCCGTTTTATGGGTTACAAACATGTGCTCAAAATCCATGGACGGGGAGAAAGACGCCGTTTGGATGCCTAAAAACGCCATGTCTTTTTGGTTTCTGCAAGTTTCCGCCTGGTCACAACCAAAAAACGCAATCACTGTGGTGGTATCTGGCTCAACCAAAAAAACATCGAACACACATGAACACACAGACTTCTCCGCGCGGTCGCGGTTGACCGCCCTCCGCACCCTCCCCCTCGTCCGAGTGGCGTCCCGCGATCACCTCGTCTACCACCTGCGCCTGCACCGCGGGGCTGCCGGCGAAGAGCACCGGTGGGAGCGCCATCGAGTTGATGCCACACTGACCCAGGGCGCCTGGGAGTGGGTCGCAGGGGCGGAAGCCAAAACGCCTGGTCCGGAAGCCCTGGGCCCTTGTTTTTGAACCAGGGCCGAGAAGAAATGAGAAAAGCCTGAAACACCAGCTCGGCTGACAGACGTTTGGAGTGGAGCAGCTCGTGGAGTGGAGTGGCGTCCGGGGGAACTCTCACGGCTCCGGCTACATAACTCCTCTCACAATGTGGCGTCCAATTCGATATCAGTCGTGCTCTTAAGCACCACTGTTCTCAACTAACAGTTACAAGCACTGTCCAAGCATCTCCCCATATTCGGTCCCTGGGACCCATGCCTCCAGGTCCTGCAGCCGCCAGCTCGTCCAGGTAGATGAGCTCATGCAGCGCATCAAAGCCGCCGGCCGGAACCACCTGCGCCGGGTAGCGCAGCTGCACGTCCTGCAGCGGACCACGTGCAGCATGGTTTTGGAGACCATGGGACCACCTACATACTCAGCTCATTTCAGGACCGGCACCAGGGAAAGTCACAGCCAACTATATCAATGCAATCTTCGGATGTTGGGACGAGATCTGAATCTCAAGAAGTCCCCTTTCCTGCCCTTCCAACACACAGATGATCTCCCATGTATTCCAGGGCCGGCATACCTCGAGCCATGCCCCGTCCAAAGCAGAAACCGGTCCTTCTGCAGCCCGGCGGTGGGAAGGCCAGCCGCCAGCGCTTTCTGGTGTAACTCCAGAGGGTAGGCCTTCTTGGCGATCCACTCCTCAGCCGTTAAGCTGAGAAGGCCCAGAGATAGCGTGAAAGCCGAGAGATGGATGGTCCAATTCCCAAATGCTCACCGCTGCATTCGCCCGATTGAATGTCGCTACGACATGTCTGCACCGTGCCATCCGCCCGAAGCCGAAGACAGTACAAGTACTCCACCCCGCCTCCAGGTACGGCTGCACCTCCGCCTCGACGAAGCTGCGGCACTTCGCGCGGAAGGTCTCGTGGGAGGCGCTGTAGTAGGCCGACGGGTAGCCTGCGCCCGTGCGGAGAGACGAGCGTGTCTGCCGGCTTGAGGCGTGGTGAAGCACCAAGGCTTGGCGGCTGGGGTGGGCCTTTAGGACCGAGTTGGCTCAAATCAATTGGAGTCTAGGCTTCAGTGGACCTCGACTTCTTAACTTCCGATGTGCCACCCAGGCGACCCGACTGCCAGGTGCGACACGCGCGCCATACGCACCGCACACGGGTCGGGTCCGGCGCCTTGGTACCAGTAGGGCTCGCATCCAGGAATGGGATCCCCGAACACGCCTGCCATGGTGGTTCAACGGTTCTGCTGAGCAGCTGAAGCAGCGAAGGTCCAAAACGTGTCTGAAGCACTTTTCGGTTTGTTCATGTTCATCAAAGGCTGACTCCTTTTGGTAGAGACCATGGTTTCAATTTGATGAATCCAGGTCAATCGATGAATCGGTTGCAGGCATTGTGGTCTGGATCTGTGGCCCTTCGTGGAAGACTCGTGCCACCGTCTAGCAACTCTTTGTGCCACTAAACTTCACATCAAGCTAAATGGCTACGGTCATTCACACTCCATGACATGATGACATGCAGGGTGTTGTTCAATGCCGCAAACGACTTCATTAATTACTCACTTGGAACCTCAAAGGGGTTCTAGCAGCTCACTCACTGCGGCTCCAAATATTCTCCAACTCTACACTGAACAAACCACCCCAAAAATCCATCCATCCATCCACCTCCCTGTCAAACGACTCTCCCCAACTGAAACCACTTAGTGGGCTGGTCTCACCCCCCCAAAGAACCGCAAGGTCCTTCGAACTCTCGGCGTCGACCCATCGAGTCGAGCTCGCGGAGGTGGACGCGCACCGCTGGGCGCAGCGCCGCAGCAGGGCCACGGCCTCGCCTTCCAGCAAGACCTTCCAGACCGGTTTCGGATTCCTCCGACCGGAGAACCCCCAAACAGAGAGAAGGGGGATGGGGCATCGGAGCCAAAGACTCAGGACATTTGATGGGGTAAAGATGGTGCAAAATGAGGTACGTCGGTCAAAACAGTTGTTGCCAACCGCCCCAAGGGCCCCCCCAAGGGCCCTCACCGGCGCCCCAAAATAGGCCCACCCGGCGCACAGGAATCACCCAAGGGAGGCCTCGTGGTTGTAAACCCAGGGCTGCCACTTCTTTGGAGGCTCCGTATCAAACATGCTGGACCGCAAGGAGAGCTGCTCCTGCGCGGAGCGCGGAGCGCGGAGCGCAGCAAATCGCAGATCGTTCGCGCAGAGCGCATCGGCAGGGCAGAGCAGGGCGGGCTGTGGACATGGCCGTTCGCATCGGGGTGCAAAGGGTCCTTCTTTCCTTCTTTCGCATTTGGGGAGGCAAAAAAAGGCACCTCCCTAGTTTCACGGTCCAAGCATCCAATCACAAGTGTCCTCGCCGTCCGGTCATCTCTGGACCTCTCTAGGTCGATAGCTGGAACCTTCCAGCAATGAAAAAACAGGAGCCAGGGTCCAATCGGTCCAATTTCCTCAGATTTCTGAAGGCATATGCAGGATATATGATCTCCTCAAACTCTTCTGATAAGCTTGGTCTTTTCCAAAACCTTGGGGAGGAAGATCTTACGGCTTGGCTCCCCTCCGACAGCGTCACCCCGCCCACCACCAAACCCGCCGGTGTTCGTTTCGTTTGGGTTCTCCGGATGACTCCAGGCAGGCTTCCCTTCGAGGGCGGCGTAGAAACGACCTTCCAGGACCTGGCGGCCGTTCGGAGTTCGGGAGACCGGAGAGGGAAAAAAAGGACGGCCATCAAAACGGGATGTGCCAGGTTTCTTTGTTTGGCACCAAGGGACAGGGACCTTCCCAAACATGTTGTTCTTGGTTCGCCTTGGAGGTGTAGCCCTGCAAGACTTCACCGAAGACTAAAAAGAACGATGTTGGATGATGTTAGGAGGGTCCGTAGCAATTTGGCATCAAGCAGGGAGGACCACACCCCATTTCCGGGGGCGCTCGGAAAGATCTGAGCCGTGGGAGGGATGTGGTCAGGGCACTTCAGTTCTGCTACTTGCTGAGCCAACTTGGTCTGCTACTTGCTGAGCAAAGATGGGCTGTCACACCACTGAGAAGGCTGAGCGAAGTGGACCACTGTTCACATCGTCCGATCTTGGAAGCTCCTGGCCTCCAAAGAGTGTGAAACCGAGCATGCTGCATGCTTGGTATGCTTGGTCTGGTAGAAAGAGTGTTGCAGGAATCGAAATCGATTGTGGAACAGTCCAGAAATCGTCGTGTTCAGTACACCTGTTGTCTTCCACAAGGTTCATGACGTGTTTTCTCGCCTCGAAGGATGCTCCAGGCTTGTAGGGCAGCAAGCAGTTCGACCTCAGTCTGGGTGGACATCTGGAGAAGACGAGTGACAGGGCTGGCGCAGCAGAGCGGGCCCACGAAAAAGTATGTCCAACACCTGCAACCTTCTTTTGTGTCGATGCCGAGAGCCTGATGTTTTTTGGAGTTTTGGAACGCCTGAAGTTGGTCAAGCGTTGATCCTCGCTTTGATGCAAAATACACCAGAGAGGAAACCTCAGGCAATCAGCAGGAGGAGCACACAGAAAGGATTGTAAAAAAAAAGAAGGAGCAGAATAATGAAGATATGTGCGGGATGATGCTCTCTCCGGGCTAGAGGCCGCATGCTTGCAAAAAAGACTCTTGGCACCGTGAAAGCACAACTTTTTGCT